ATTATTTTTTTTTTGTTTTTTGAATGGTCAAATTTAATGATATTAAAAATAAAATTTAAAAAATAAAATAAATTTATTTTAATGTGTTTTTAAATAAAAAAAATATTTTAAAGAATAATCTTTTCTGCAATTCAAACATATTCAAACAAGTAGGAATAAATTCATATCTTTAATCTAGTAATTGATTGGATAATTTACATAGAAAATTGAGAGAAATTAAAATAAATCTTTTTTTTTTTGTACTCCCCCCTAGTCACTTGTGCAGTCGTACTAATATTTTGGGCTAAAATGGCTTTGTAACTTTCTTGGTTTAATGCCCTGGAACTATGAGCTTAGGGCCACATTGATAGAAAACTTCTTTTTCGCAAATATTAAAAACAAAAACCGGTAAAAATAAGGATTATAGTCTAATTACATAAGAACAATAAACCACACAAAATTTATTTATTTATTTTTTAAAAAGGACTGAATCCAGTTTTTGTCAGCTGCTGGAGGCTCGAAGCTTTCTGTGATTTTAACCTGCTATCATGGCATCGTTTGTAAGATCGAGACCGGTGATTCTCCTCCTCGTCGTTCAACTATGCCTCTCTCTTCTCTCTCCATCCCTCGCAATTTCATCTGGGTACGGTTTCTCTTTTTGTTTTTACGTTGATTGCTTATTTTGATATTAATTAAGTTATTGTTTTCATTATTACCAGGTCTTCTGGTGATGGTTACGCAATCAACGGTAGAGTGAAGATCCCAGGTAATTTTTTTTGTGCAATTTACGTGTTTCTTACATGTTAAGTTTTTCTTGCTATGCTCCTTAAACTCAATACTCCAGTCAATAATTTTATGCTTAAGATGATGTCTTTTTCTTGGTTTGTTTGGTAAAAAAATGATGGGTTTGTTGAGACCTTTTGTGGGCCATTTTTAGATGCCCAAATTAGTTCTAAATCCTATTGCTCTTGTTTTGAGAAATGTGTAAAATCTACGGTAGAAAAGAGTTGTTTGTTGTTTTATGAGGGTATTAATGGGTGATGGATTTTGATGTTGCGATCTTGGTTGGGGACTCGTGTGAATGTAATTGTTCTAGTCCATCCTTGGTGAATTGTTGTTAATCTTAGTTCGATTGTGAGAAAGAATTTTTTTTTGTTGGGAAAGGTGAGAGTAAACCGATGCATAGCATAAGGTCATGATAGTGATTTCTTTAGAAGTAGAAGTCCAGCCTCTGTCTGCGAAGTAGAATTTGCAAAATAAACTATATCACTATGATTTTGTCACTAATGTTGGTAATGTATATAATGTGAAACTATGACACAGATTAGCTAGCCTACGCAAGGTCAAATAATATTCTGCCTCGGCGAAGATAGTATCAATAGATTGCTGATTGGTGGCTTATTTTTGTCTAGAACAGCATTAACAGCATTAACGAGTATAATTTGTTTTTGCACCTCTTACATCTATGTTTCTTATTTGTATCCTTTTTTCTTTTTTAGTTCATCTTAGATTATTCCTGAATTTGTTAAGCAGGTATTGATGCAAAAGGACTTGGAGGTCATGGAAAGATATCCAATGTCAAAGTTGTACTAAATGGTGGCCAACATGTTACTTTTCTGAGGCCTGATGGATATTTTTCATTGTATCCTACTGTTTTTTCCTTCTTCTATGCATGGTTCTGTTTGAACTTGACTAGTGATAGCTTTGGCATGCTTTTTTTAAATAGCATGATTCAATTCTTCATATGCCCTTTTAGGAATTTAATCAAATCAATTGTTTGAAAACCATACCCCTTTCCATTGGTTGTAGGTTTTTGGGGGTGTTTCTGCTGAGGGTTGACAGAGTGACTTTATTCACATATAAACTTTGATGTTGTAGCATTAAGGGGATGCTAATAAGCACTCTCTATTTACTTCTTTCCTTGACTTGTCTATTAAAAGTCATAATGTGCCAGCGGGGACCCATTTAATTGAAGTGGTGGCTATCGGCTATTTCTTTTCTCCAGTAAGTCTTTCAATCTGTAAAATTTGATCAGTGAATTATCATGTAGTATTATACTCCCATTATTGAATTTTCTTTAAAACATTTAGGTCCGAGTTGATGTTAGTGCTAGATTCCCTGGTAAGGTTCAGGCAACACTAACGGAGAAAAGGAGGAGTCTGAGTGAAATGGTATTAGAGCCATTAAAGGAAGAGCAGTATTATGAGGTCGATCCTTCTCTCTCTGTTCATCTTGATATAGTTATTTAAGGAATTACTAACCTACCTTTTCGCCAAATATCTGATTCTCTTGCAGATTAGGGAGCCCTTCTCCATAATGTCTGTTGTCAAAAGTCCGATGGGTCTCATGATGGGATTTATGGTGTTGGTTATGTTCATAATGCCAAAATTAATGGAAAACATGGGTAAAGTACTCTTATTCATGGCTTTGAGGAATTGCACTAGACTTGATAGTTGACTCATAGATTTGACTTTTTGAATGCATGTTGTCACTTGAGGGGTTTATGAGGTGAAGTACTGCCTAATAATGCAATGTTCTGACCAGCCGAAGAACATGATTTTTAATCCGCTGCATCCATTATCCTGTAATTTGCTATAACTGGTTCAGGAAGTCATGGAGAATTGTGTTCCTATTCTGGAATTTTAGGATTTTAAATAGCCATTTATATGGCTACTACTTTTTCACATGCATTGATTCTTTTCATTTTCATGCTAGATATTCTTGACACATTCAGCCATAGACATAGACATTATTTTCCCGTACAAATTATCAAGAAAATCTTATTTGAGTATTTCTAGCTAGTGAAATGACATAGTTTTACCATTTCTCAATCTTTAATTTGTGACCTCTTCAGCTCCAAGTATGTTAATTTGTTTTAATTATTTTCTGCGATTATTGGTCTCGTGTGATTTGCAAACATGTAGCATTCACATGCAAGACTCCTTGGACAGGCCTTTTTTCACATGCCCGTTTGCCTTCAGCTATCAACGAGTTTGATAACTTGCTGTTTATGTGACTGTTGACATGAACCTGGACTTCCATTGCACATGTTTTTTTATATATTTTTGGAGCTTGTCTTTTAATGTATTATACCACCAAATGCACATTTGAAGATTAGTGGAGCTTTCCACAACATCATGCCAGACTTGTTAACTCGACTGCTATAGATGACATATTATTCCACTGTTTTTTTTTTTTTTTTTGTACTTTACCAACCGTATTAATCTGTTTATGTTTGACGTACTTCACCAACCGTATTAATCTGTTTATGTTTGACAACAGATCCCGAAGAAATGAAGAGAGCACAAGAAGAAATGAGAAACCAAGGAGTTCCATCCCTAGCAAGTATGTTGCCAGGAGCTGCAAGGAGCAATAATTAGAGGTGAAATGCGATCCTGCTATTCGATTTAGGCTAAAAGAAGTAATATAACATTATTGCTATCGACGGTCAAATCTTCACTCCAATCTGGTAGTTGGGAGATGCTAGTTTTACTTTGTTGACAATGCTGATGGATGAATTTACTTGGAAAACACTAAATTGTGTAACACTGACATCATTACTCACGAGTTTGTTTGCTTGACGGATAGACAAAGCCAAAGCCCTAATTTCCATGTGCTGTGTTTCTGACATGTTGATTCTTAAACTCGAAGCTTCTTGCAAAGAACCAAGTTAAAAGAAGTTACTCCATCGGACACGGATGATGTAAGTGATCTGTGTGGGCTGTTCTATCATCTATTTAAACAGGGTGTTTGTTACAATAGTCTTCATTCTTTTGTTATCGGCTCACCCAATTCAGTCACAGAAAATAATTAAATTTGACTGAAATCATGGTAACTTGAAGTCGTGGAAGAAAAAACCCAGTGAGCAACTTAGGGACTGCCACAGAATGCTCTGCTAGTCGTGAGAAGAGCAAGGGCTACTTCTATGTGCAGTTCATTTTTTCTCTCCTTGTTCTGATCAAAACTATGGGTTGACTGGATTTGATGAAGTTAGGTGATCAACAAAAGTTGTTGCTAGAACTATCATGAGGAAAATAATTAATTAATGTTTTGAGGATCAGTGCTATGCTTAATTTGATGTTTCTCTATTCTAAAAAATATCCTTTTATTCCTCGTCAATATCAATTTTTTATTATATATTTCTTAAAATAAAATCAACTAACGAATATATATAAATTACAAGGATTAATTAATTATTTTCAAAACTAAATAGAGTATTTAATTTGATTTGTAATACTAATTTATATCCAACGTGACATTTTCAATATATACATCTTAATTCAAAAGCGCACACAATATATATATATATATATATATATATCTGTGTGTGTTGTGATTTTGAATTGAGATAATTTTAAAATAAAAAAAAATAGATGAATTTTAAAAGAATAAAATATTAAATAATAAAATTAAAAATAAATTAATTTTATAAAAGGACAACTTAAAAAAAAATTAAAATTAACCTGTGTTAACTTTTGAAACTCGTAATTTTATTTATGATGTTGAGACTAACCCATTGAAGACAAAAAATAAAAAAAATATATATATTTTATAAAAAAATATTGAGGGATGAAATTACAAAAACAAATGTAATTAAAAAATATTTTTAAAAAATAAATAATAATAAAAGGAATGGAGATCCAATTTAATATAAAAACAAATTGAAATTAAATATTAGAGATGCATTTGAAAAGAAAACTTAATTAGTAAAATGATAAAAAAATCAGAAGAATAAAGATAAAATTTTATATAAAAATTAAATAAACCAAATGATTATGGATGAATTGAAAACAAATAAAAAGAAGATGGAAAACATAACAAATAGCAATTAATATTGAATTATGGATTTATTTTATTTTATTTAAAAAAAAAAAACTAATATCGAATTATGAATTCAAAAAAAAATAGGGATATTGATTTGCATTAGCTTCTCAAACATATAGCCCGGATCATTAAATTAGAAGTATCACATATAGAAGCAAATCAAATACTAAAAGGTGAAATAAAATGAAAAAATTATTTACACTTCTCTTTTCCTAGCTTTCTTCTCTTGCTTCGCTTGGCTCTACGTTGCTGGCCGGTTTGTTTGTTTCCCTCATTTCTTCATTTATTTCTCAATATCAGATTCATCAAAAAAAAATAATGTTGCTATAATTATTGAGAATTTGTGGATTTAATTATACTAATTTTGAATTTTATTGATGGAATTTGGAAAATATTCGATATGAGCATTTATTAGGACGTGTTTGGCAAAGAAAAAAATGGATATAATTTGTAATTGCGAATGTCTTAGCGATAATTTATTGAGATCGTGGTGATTAGAGTTGTATAGTAAATAAATTAATTTTAATTAAGAATTATGGATTTAATTGTAATTGGTGCGTTTCTGTTTTGTTCTGTTTGGCTATGGTTTAGGTTATGGCAAGACGCAGAGAACAGAACAGTACTTTCTAATCTTCTACAGAGAAATGCAGCTCAGGTTCGTGTATCGATCCCTTTTTTATTTTTTATTTATTCATTCATAAGAGAAATGAAAAATTATATTAATTTTTGTGTTGTTTTCGCATGTTTGTTTGCAGGGACCGAAGTTGCTTACAGTTGAAGATAAGCTAGCTGTGCTAGGATGCAAGTATGTTTTTCTGTCTTCTTTATTTATTTATTTTTTTCGAATTTTTCAAAATTGAATTTTGTTTTACTGTGACATGAATTGGTGTTGTTGATGGTGATTAATTAATTGTAGGGATCTGGAGAGGAGGGTAGTGGAGGCAGAAATGGAATTGACGTTGGCTAAGAGTCAAGGGTACTTAAAAAGTTGGCTGTCACTAAATGAGTCTTCGTCGGGTAAAAAGTTTCTTGCAGTCATTGGTGTATATACTGGATTTGGTAGTCACTTGAAGCGGAAGGTGTTTAGAGGGTTTTGGATGCCAAGAGGTTAGTTGATGTTTGATATATAATATGTTGGCTTTGTAATATGTTCTCTTTTGAATAATTGTTAAGGTTGCAAATTTTGTTTGGTTCTGTTTACTGTGGTGGATTTTTTTATTCCATTGATTTTCATCCAATAAAGCAACAAATAATGGCATTATACTTTGACTTTGAAAGACTGGAATATTTACTTGTCGATTCCCTTTTATGTAATGATTTCCTCTGTTTTTTACAAACCTTCATTGTCGTCCTCTTCTCTTTTCTTTTTTATTGAAGTTTGTGGGAATTTATTGGCTGTTGTCCCTTACGTTGCTATCTTCCCTTCCTCGTCGAATACATAGTTATTATCATAGATCTCACTTACCCTTGCTGGCTTAACAACTTGATTCTTGATTTCCTACATGGTGCAGCAAATAAAGAACAAACTCAAAGCACATAATTGAGTCTAATTATCAAGAGACATGAAATTGGCACCCTACAACGTAAGGAACAACAGCCAATTTCATGTCTCTTGGTTTAAGAGTCTAATTATTTTTTTTATCAATGCTTTCTTTTGCAAATAAAGAACAAACTCAAAGCACATAAAAGAAAGCATTGATAAAAAAAATAATTAGACTCTTAAACCAAGAGACATGAAATTGGAAATATCTAAAATGAATGGTATATACCAAATATGGCCAATCTAAATGAAAGAAATTCTAGTTAGAATCTTGTATAATTAGGAAGGTAATTAACCCAATAAATAAAATCCCTATTCTTCTTATTGTGATTTTCTGCTTGCATCCCCGTAACCAGAATGTTGTTACTTATGACACTGTCATGCCACATAGTATGTCTATCGTTGTTTTTGTTGGTTTCACAATGTGAATGATGGTCATATATAATTTACTTCTTGAAAAGTAAGTTACCAGGATTATTATTTCTTTTGTAGGTGATGCCTTAAAAAAACTTGAGGAAAGAGGAGTAGTAATCCGTTTTGTGATTGGACGCAGGTTTTCCCTTGCACTGTAGTCTTATTGTATTATTTGCATATGATTTTTTTTTCTATGAATCAATTTGCTTGGTTTGATTTCAATTTCTATGGTTGAGGTAGCTACTAATGCCATGGATTTTATGATAACTTTTAAACTGGCAGTGCTAATCGAGGGGATAGCTTAGATCGAAATATCAATGGTGAAAATCGTTCAACAAAGGATTTCTTGATTCTTGTACGTGATGCAATGCGAATTTGTATTCATAGCTTATCTTTTTAAATGTGCACATGCACATTTTCTAGTATTGTGTACTTTCAGTGGTTATGAATATTGGCACTGACCTTTCAAAGTTTTATCCTTTCCTTATTATATGTCCTGGATTCAAATTAACACCTTTTCCTGTTCATAATCACTAGATATTCCTTAGATTTGAACTTAACTCTGGATGCAAAAAGCTGACTTGCTTTCTTTAAATCAAATATATTTGCATGGTGTTCCTCTTCTTACTGGTTACTTGGGATTCTTCTGGATGGAATTTAAGTGCACTTATCATTAATTTTGTTTCAGGAAGGTCATGAGGAGGCTCAAGAAGAATTGCCCAAGAAAGTGAAGTCCTTCTTTAGCACTGCTGTGCAAACATGGGATGCGGAATTTTATGTAAAAGCTGATAACAATATTAATCTTGATCTTGGTATAGCTCAATGTCTTATATGGTTATTTGAACATACACGAAGGATATTCAACTTTTATTCATTAAAACTTCTTTCCATTGTTGTTTGCTGTGTTTTCTTGTGTAGAGGGATTAATTGAACTTCTTGAACATCGTCGCAGTCAAGCTAGTGCATACATTGGCTGTATGAAATCTGGAGAAGTTGTAACTGAAGAGTACGTGTTTTATCTAATATTATTTCTCCCTAATTATGTTTCACTACCTAGATGCTTTGCAGATATCTAAATATGCGGTATAACTGCTTTATAGTTTCATTAAGTATTTAATGGAAATTTTGGGCTTTCCTTCCCCATATATTTGGAATAATTAAATTCATATTACTTGGCATTATTCTCCTAACTTATCCACCATCATGTTTCAGTGCTGTCATTCTGATCTGCTTGGTAAAATTTATGCAAAGTTAATATATCATTTCCTTCAAGAGCGTTTGCCTGGTTTGGAAAGCATGAAAAATACATATCTGCATTGTTCCATTTTTCTGTTGCATTTATAATTACGTATTGATCCAACAATTACAACGCATGTGTGCATTTCATTCATACTTTCATTTGGGCAAAGTCATCAATTTGCCAATTCTTACTTTTAAGTCATGTGAAAATTTGTTATTTTTTTCAAAGCAGCTTGAGGTTCCTAGCTTTTCTCAGCCCTGGAACATTTCAATTTTGAGGTTATTGGAATTTGCTTCAAGGGTATATGACCTTTTGTTGTTTTTCAGGGGAAGCCCATGGTATGAACCTGAATGGTGGAAATTTGGAGATGAAAAATCGTAAGTGGCTGAACTTGTGAATGACAACGCAATAAGATGTTTCCTATCTATGTATTACTGATAATTTTGGTTGATATCTGCGCCATCACTTTATGGTTTTGAAGACTGCTTGAATGGCGAGAAATTGGATAAACATCAATCTCTTATCATTTCAGGTACTTCCGGCATGCAGCTGGTTCACTTCTTATACTCTCCAAAAAATTGGCTCGGTATATTGACATAAACAGGTTGGTTATAAATTCTATAACTGGGAAAGCTTTAGTAAGAAATCATGTTAAAATTTTAATGGTGAGGATGGACTTGGGTTTATTCAGGACTTGGGGGTTGCATCTCCTTGCAATTTGGTACATGATAGGAACTCTAGGATTAATATTAGATCGTATAGTTCTACTACATTAGCAGTCCAAAACCCTCAATCCTCTTTGTATGATGGTCATTGAGCCATATGTGAAGTGGATAGAAGTCTTCCAGCATGCTTTTCTGAAGTATAAGAACCAGACTTCTGATGGTGTTAATTGCAAGTAAGCTATTTAGTTCTTATGAGAAGTCCTGGTGATTGAGTAGCCCATCCTTGTGTTATTCACATGTGCAGAATTTTACTTCAGTTAAGATCAGACAATTTCATCACTCTCCACGTGAGCTACAAACTAATCCAGGTTACTTATTACGTGCAGCGCATCTCTAAAGACTTATGCTCATGACGATACATCAGTGGGATCCTGGATGATGGGTCTCCAAGCAACCTATATAGATGACAATCGTCTTTGCTGCAGTAGCATTAAACAAGGTAAGCTTTTCATATGATGGCCTTTTGATACAAGTGGACATATTTTTCTCAAGCTTTTACTTCTTTTTTTCTTTTTCTTAGACCTGTTCTTTTCTTTTCCTTTCTGAGTTGATAGCTATCGTCTCAAGACTTGATAGCTTGAAAAGCATACATTAGAAAAGAGAGAGAAAACCACACTTGTAATTATCAGAGTGATACTTCTTTTCTACCACGCATGAAAGTTTCATTAAAGTGCTGGGCTCTTTTTAGTCTGCTTTGCACCTGCTTTTATGTTACGTTTGTGGTGTAAAAAACGATGTAACGTATTTATAAAAATAATATTTTATACTACAGGATTCATTAAAAAAATAAATTTGAAATGCAGTTTTCATGAATCAATTTTTATATTTTTTTAATTATATTTTATAAAATATTGTTTATTTTGTGTTTTAAAAGTATTGTTCAAAAAAATTAATTATTTTTTTGCTTCAATTAATATTTTTTTAGTGTTTTTAGATCATTTTGATACATTAATATTAAAAATATTTTTTAAAAAATAAAAATATATTATTTTAATACATTTTCAAGTTAAAAACATTTTAAAAAGTAACTGCAACCACACATGTACCAAACATTTTATACATATTTTTTAAGTTTACGTACAATAAAAAAACATGTAACTAAATCTAACTAATCTAGCTCACCATATTTTTAAAATTTTTTTTTTTAAATCACAACCACAAAAATATCTCAAAAAAAAAACACTATAATTATTGTGAACGTGATTTTAAAAAAATGATTTTTTTATGTGGTTGGTTTATAAATGTATAAGGAGTTAAAATTGTAGTTTGACTTTATTTTTTCAAAAATCATGGCATTATATCTTTGATTAAAATTATAATTGAGGTTTTTATTGTATATAAAATGACCAAAAATGTTATAAATTAATTTATTGTTTGTTGTAATGGGAAAAATAATATTTAATACAAACAATAATTGGTATATAAAAAAATTTATTTTATTTTTAATTAAAAAATAAATATTATTGCTCCATCAAACTTATAATTTCATCACGAATATAATTCATACATGAAACTCTCCGATGCCCACTCCGATGCCCACGTATTTATGATTGTTGAACTATATCAATTAAAGTTTTAGCAAAATATATCAGTGTTTCCTTATAAAATACAAGTTTAAATTGTTGTGTTTTGAAAGAAAATATTGGCATGTTTTACAATAATATCATTAAGTTTAAATTGTTATGACATCAATAATATTATATAACTACATCTAAAGAAAATCGATCCAAGATATTATATTTAACAAGTGTCATTGTTATTATAATTTTGTTACTGCTAAAACTTTAATAGATGTGATTCTGCAATCATAAATATATGGGCACTAGAAAATTTAATGTATAAATTATGTTTATAATGTATTGCAACAAGTTTAATAGGATAATAATATTTATTTTTTAATAAATAATAAATAAATTTTTTATATTAATTACTATTTGTACTAAATATTATATTTTCTATTAAAACAAACAATAAATTAATGTTTTTTTTATCATTTTATATAAAATATAAACCATAATTTTAACCAAATATATCATACCCAAGCATAAAATCAAACCATCATTTTAACCCCACACACACCACAACAAAGTGATTTTTTCATTTGTTTCAAACCACAATTATAATAATTACAACAAAAACAAGCACTCTTAACATTCCAGTTTACCTTACAACCTGCGCTAACCGCAAACATGTCGATGTTCATTTGCAGACAAGGTTTGTTCCCTGGCTTGATCAGAGAGTGAGAGGCTTCCATACAGGTTAAACTTGCTTTTACAGTTGTTTATCGGCACATTCAGCGACATATGCTACTATATTTCACACTTCATGCTGAGCTCTCACGTTCACCAAGACCTATGTAGCATTCACCGTATAATTCTTTTTAGGTGCAGAGGTTAGCCATTCTTTTAGGATTAACAAGCAAAGTGCATATTAGCGCCGCAGTTTGCGAACGCATCATTTTATTGATTGCAAATAGTTTTAATCAAAATATTTAGATGATGCCACATACATCATATATATTTTTTGAAAATAAGATAGTAGAATGCATACCAGACTAAAATTTATAAGCAAAGAGAGTATAGACTGTGGAGCTTAAATTATTTTTTCAGTCTTTAAATTATTTATCTTTTTTATTTGCTTTCAATGTAAATCATATTTTAAAAAAAAAAGATAAATCTTTATTTTAATAGACTCACTCGATCAAATTTCAAAAATTAAGGGACTATAAAAATCTGTACTGGCAAAGGAAATGCAGCGGCAAGCTCTCAAGTCTCAACCTCACCATTCTATTGTGCTAAAAAAAAAAACCTTTCCTTTAGCTCAACAGGCTGAAAGTGAGAACTTCTACACAGGCAGCTAATCCAACAATTACTCCTGTTTTTACAAAAAAGATCCATTCACGAGTGCTATAAAAACTAGCAATGGCAACAGATGTGCAAGACACTGTCTTCTAACAGGATTGGAGAAGTTCCTTTTTGCCGCAATGTGAATCCTACTACAATTGCACAAAATACCAAGCAAGAAGTCCAGGAAGCAAACCTCTAGCATTTGAAAAGCTTTAACCTAACAATGTTGTGCATGTGTACAAGAAGAGGAAATAGCCTTTACAGGGAGGGTAAAATACAGCAGTTGTTCCTCTGAACTTTCATCATCATCCCAGGCATGCCAAAAAGGAGTCAAAATCTCCAGATGCCATTGACCATGTTGCGATCAAACTATGCGAGAGCTGAGGGGACAGGTTGCCCTGGCTTTGCATATCATTGCACGCAAGTAAACAAGAGACAAAAATAAAAATAAAAAGAACTCGAGCAATTTTGAGGAACTCGGAGCATTTTTGCCTAAAACGTCTATTGGTGACTCTCTTCTTACCTCGATCTTATTTTAATGCGTCGATTGAAGGGGTTTCGGTAGCTTTTTGAACCCTAAGCCTTTTTGTCCTGAAATCAAAAGAGAACTTAACACGGTCAAGCATATCAACCAAAAAGAAATAAAAAGAAAAGAACATGCGATAATTAGATCAAATATATCTATTATAGGCTATAGCATCGCCCTTCAAGAACAAGGTCAACTTTGTTGCCCAGGATACCTGCAAGAAGTACCTACATGTAGACCCATATACACAATAATATCAGATTCCTAAATATAAACACAAATGAGAAGACACAACGTGTGATTTTGATAGGTCAAACATGCATCCCAACAGAAAGTTGTCGTGCATTTCTTTCTCGCACATGAACTGCACAAGAGGAACAGATCATGGTGCGTTTTGGGCAGGTGGTTGCACAACAAGTGAATGATGACAATTCTAGTTTAGTTTAATTTCAGATCAAAAGGGGCCAACATTTTCTTCTTCTGATTTCTACATGATAAACGAAGTCCCTAGAAGTGCATGTAAGAGGTGAGATTCATATGGCATTAGCATGTCTCCCTTCACAAGTCACCTCTCCTTTCTAGTAATTTTAATACCAATCACACCGCAATGCTGGGGTAATTAAGTTATATGCTTGTGGGTATTAGGCACCAACCTATACAAATAATCAAATCTCCAAAAGGTAAATGTCTAGTAAGTTCCTACTGGTTACGAGCTTTCCAGTCCTAAAAAAATTTTCTTTCTAAAAGGGGAAAGCATGGGGAGCTAGAAGTAAACTGTAAGATGACTTCTCAGTGCAAAAGATGTATCAATCAATGTCATTACCTCGAGGAAGTGATGTATTTCTCAATTTCCAGTTTCTGTTCATCAGCATATACCAACCATTTTTCACTTGGTGCAACAGAATTCCATGTACCCATATCTGTACAAGAAAAATAAATGATGATATGCAGCATGTTTACTTCATACACACAAATGAAAACAAACGAAGCATCCTGACCTTGAAGCAGAATATCTGATTGACCATTGTAGCCATTTAGTTTCCAGAAAGCTCGGCCATCAACGTCCAGAAGGACAGGCTCTGTTCTGACAGCATTGGATAATAATCTCTCTGGCCATTGCAGGTAAAGGTTAAATATATATGTTTGCAAATTATACATTAAATTTGCATGTACGATCAAAAAAGAACAATAGATTAATGCAAAGAACTGATATAACAAATCCTACTAGCAAGCATATGATAGATGTTTCAAAAGATATAATTTGATCTCAGATTCTTCAGTTTCCTGTAAATGTCTTTCTTCTCAAAATTTAAGGGCATTCTCTTCGACAGGTCAAATAATTCTTATCTAGTAGCCTTCTACAAAAGTTGGTCATGTGTATACATGGAAAGAAAAACCAAAAAAATTATCCCTTGTCTGATCTTGATTTTGGCACCAAATTCCAGTGGCCAGCATAACAATTATTTAGTATAGAGCAACAAACCCAAAAGACTATCAAACCACCTAAGCCCACTGAATATCTAACAGTATTTAATAAAATCAAAGCAAACATTTTTATGCAATCACGCTAGCTTCAAAAGTTATATTTTGCAATCACATTAACTTCAAAAGTGGAAATGCACTTACTCTTCAGTGCCATGGCCTCCAGCATTTCTGAGTGGGCTTGTGCAGCTTCACTTTTTATTCGTGAAACCATTTCTTTATGGTTAGAAACAGAAATGGGAGCACCATTTTTCTCAACAATAGCTTTGGCCACCTCGTCTAGCATCTTCTGTTTCAATTTTTTCTCCTGTTCCAAACAAAAAAGAGAAAATAATTAATTTGCAAACAAAGGATGGATTCACTCACATCACTGAAAGGCCAACATTGCCATTTACAATGACTATGACCTTATCCTTCGCTGCAAGAACTTTTTCTTTGGCTTCCTTCTGTCTTTCAAGAAATTTAGAGTTTTCATCATCAATCCAACTGCGTAACTCTCTGGAAAACATATTTATAAACAATCAAAATAAGATAGTAAAATGTTTTGTCAACACAGATTGATTATTGTAGAACCAAATGTAAAGGACCCATTTCCTCATTCTGTTGTTGTCGCTTACTTGGTATTAAGAGCTTCATCACATATAAGATTCAAGAGTTTAAGCTTTTCTGCGCTGTCTAACTTATCATATCCTTCATTACCCCAGTCAAAACAATTAGAGGGAAGTTCTTTTGATAAGAAATGGCATTTCGAGACATATTTCCTGAGAGCTTGAAACCATGAGTTTTCATTTGTTGTAGTTAGGGGTGGAGATCTGAACAAGAAACCACAAAATTGTCATTCTCCTGTCCCCGCACGAAGCAAAAGTGGTTGAGAATAATTAGAAAACGTAATAGATTACATACTCTTCTCCTATATCCTTTTGAATCAGAGACAGTAGCTGAATATGAATCTGGGCTAGATGATAGGATTGCAACCGACGCCCTCTTCGTCCATTTATTATTTCCCTGAGTGCAATTTCAGCTTGCCCCTTCTTCAGACCAAGAACCTAATCAGGGGGGAAGAACAAGGACAATCAACAAAGTCATGAATAACGAACAGGGAAGATGGAAACAAACTACAGCACGGTGGCAACAATTATCATCCATTTACATAATTAAACTTGGTGGAAATTGTCACAATGCTTCATTTGGTTCAATAGTAATAGAAGACTTGTTCATACCTTACCAAAACTAGCACAAAATTCCAAGAATTGCAATGCATTACCAACAGTCTCGGGAGGTAACTCAATGCCTGCTACAGCCGTTAAGCAGGTTCCCTGAGGCAATTGAATGTCCACGTCAATTTCTTTGTTCTGAAGTTTAATGGTACGCCTCTCATTGGCTGTCTTTGATTTGGTTTGAAATTCTGCAGGAAACTTGTCAACTTTGCATGAGTCTCCAGCCATCTTGGTCTCCGTTTGAATTTTATCACTTCTAAAGCCACAAACTATTCCACCATTACAATTTGCACCAAGTAAAACTTCATTCTGGTAAACCTCTAGAGGCTGTGTCTTAGTCTTTTTCTCAACAAAAGCATCTTCATTCTTTCCATTTTTCAATTCTTTCTTAGAAATTTCCTGAGGATGTGCCCTAGTCTTCCTTTTCTTTTCAGAAGAATCTTCATCCTTCTTATTTTTCTTCACTTTGCCCTTGGAAAGTTCCATGGACTTTGTCTTGGACTTCTTTTCCTTTGCAACATCACCTTTATCTATTTCATTGTTCTTCATTTCATTTTCATAAACATCTTCAGTAACTAGAGGCTTCTTATAACCACCCTTCGTACTGCCATTACTAACTTTCCCTAGTCCTTCCCTTTTTGTTTTCTTCTGACCACTCTCCTCTAAATTAATTTCAGCATCCCTGTTACCATTACTACCAACTTCCTTCAGTCCTTTCCGTTTTGTTTTCTTAGATTTCTTCTCGGCAGAGATGGGTGTTAAATTCTGAGGATGCAGATTCGTATCAATGTTTCCATCGAAAGAATTTTCCTTCCCTGGTTTCCATGGAGAAGCGACTGTAGACTCCTGTTAAAGCATCAATTGACGTATACGTACGGCAAATCAGAAATCCCATGGATGAAGCAGCCTAATAATCATAACAAAGGACCATCGTTAGCAAACACTTCCAAACCTTATGTGACGACGCACTCTTTGACGAAACATCATTGGCTTTCACATCCTTGTTGTGATTCAAATTTTCAGAACCTTTAATCTGCAGCAGTTCCGAGACAGAAGAAAACCCATTTTCCTTGGCTGTGTGGACAAGTATTCCAGTGGGCTTGTGGCCTCGTTTCTTCCTGGAAAAACTGTATTCTATTAGATTCACCAAGAAGACTAGTTATATCCAATAATATCATCACTGAACTTCAAACATGATGTACAAGTCAAACATTGATGTACTTACATGCAGAAGCTACAGTTGCAAATGCCCCTACACTTGGGACACTGCCAGTCATCCAACAATGCTACCTCTTCTGCTTGCTCTCCGTATCTAAAACACCACCAGCCAAAATGTATTGAGAAAAAAACTAAATGCAAAAACCTCCTTAAATTGTTTGACGAAGTTTGTTATACGAGAATTGCGTCACCAAGCTAACCTGTTTAACAGGCATTTGTGGCAGAACTTGAGAGCACATAGTTTGTTTCCTTTCTGAATTGCACATGCTGCAGCAAAATCCATTGTTTTTTGGCGGCACTTCGATGATTTTAAACAAACAAGGACAAAACAAAGAAGGATATCAATTACAAAGAGAACAGACATGGAAAAAAGATCAATGAGCCCATCAATTGTACTACCACCACCGATTTAGAGATAATAACATTACCAAACCACTTTCTTGATTCGCTTTCGTGTGAAACAACAAAATTAATGTAACTGACCAAAACAAGTGCTCTTAACATCATTAGGAAAAGATCCCGAATTCCACTTTCATTTTACCTTCCCACATACTATCATCAACAAACAGAATCGCAAGGAGATACTAGGCAAAAAAGAGCATAATTGAGCATATACACAAAGTAAACTACGAGATAAATAAATCATGAATATACTAACTAAGAGATGAATAAATCACAAAAGCAATTATGGGTCATTGTTAAATGAGCCGAAAACTTAAAAAGGGACTTGAAACTTAGATTTCTTTAGCTTTCCTACATCTTCACATTAACCAAACAGAAAACCATGGTAGGGTTTGCTTGTTGTATAGAATTCTATCAATAAAAAATCGTGAGAGTAAATTCATGGCTTCTCTTCAAATAACCACGACTAGGAGCTAAAACTCGAAACTTAGGGTTCTTTCGTTTTCTTGCATCTTCCCGTCAGCCAGACATAAAAACAATCAAGAAAGTATACGTAATATCTAAAATTCTATCAACGGAGAAATCATACAAAGTAGATTCATGGGTTCTCTTCGGATCAACCCAACAAAAAAAAAACCAAGAACTGAAACTTGGAGCTTAGGTTTCTTTCATGTTCTACTTTCTAGCACCCTCCCTCAACCAAACAAAGAAAAAAAAGGTTCACTTATTATAATCTAAAATTGTATCAAAAGAATCACTCGTTACTTGATGACAAGTCTTCCCATTTTCAGAATCATAGATCCTCCCTCCAACAACACGAACTCCAGGACGTTTTGACCGACTCTTCTTCTCTACAACTTCTTTTTCCTTCAACGCGACAGGACTTGAAGTAACTGCCATGCTTGCGAGACTATGCTTTGCGAGACAAGAACAGAACAGGTTACTAGTGTTATAGACCTCTACAAAAGAAAGGTTCTTTCTTGCTTTGCTTTGGAGTTTGGAGATTCGCGCTTTGATTATCTCTCTCTGGTTGTGGCGGGAGATATATTTTGATGTGTATTTTGGTTTTGGAGGGATGAAGGAGCGCCAAGTTGAAATTTTTTGAGGGTTTCCTTGTCTTTCTCTCTTCTTTTTTGCCTGTCTCATGATTCATTTCTTATTACAGGACATGGCATCAAGAAGCTGGAAGATCATTGATTTTGGTTTTTCGTGTGGAGTCATTATTGTTAAATTCCAACCACCTTAGTGGATCGACCTTGCCTTTGGTATGAGCCCAGATAAAAAAATAAAAAAATAAATATTGATCTGGTTCAATTTAGTCCAATTTATCTTATCAAAATTTTGTTTAATAAAAAAATAAAATAAGATTATTTTAATTAACTTGAGACAATCGAATTAATTCATAACTTAATTCTTGAGTTGAATAGTAGATTCTGTGATTATTTATGTTTGGTATGAATTTCTAGATAGACGTCGGAAAGATTGTAGAATATTTGATATAAAAGATGATGTTTTTATAGATTATTAACAAGAGCTAAAACTCATTGAAAAAACATTGTTCACCTTGTTCGGGAGTCATGCTCTCTAGAATAGTGCAATGCCGTGTCATTTCCATGAAAAAGTCTCTAGAATAGCAATTGGGAGTAGTTTAGTCTTTGCCCGTAGCTTATTGCTGTACAGTCTGGGGGTAATAAAGTTTAATTGTATTTTATTTAAAAAATTAGTGTTAAATAATATTTAATAATACTATATCAATTAGAAAAAGGTTGCATAATAAATTAGTATTTGTAGAATTTGATCATAATTTTAATTTTATTCATGATAATATTTTACATGATATTATTATTGCACTCTCAAAAAACCATAAAAATTATAATTCTTGTCAGATGAATTACACACGTGATAGAATTGTAGATAATTTAATAAAATAATAAAAAATATTTTATATTAAATATTATATATTAAATGATGTGACAACAATAGTTAAATCTACAATATTTAAATTAAAAATTATTAATATATATATATATATATATATATATATATTAGTTATTCTATAACCTCAATTTAAAGAGTATTATTAATCAATCATATTAAATTATTTTTTGTTCAGTTTTAATTTCAACAACAGTTTTAACTAGACATATATAAATATCAAATCAGTCTCAATTAAAAGTATCTTTTCACCAAATAATTTTTTTAAAATTACAATTATAAAAACTATAACAATATCAAACACACTCCAAGTTAAAAATAAAAAGAATTTAGTATTTTAATAAATAAAAAAAATAAAAAAAAATGACGCTAGGACACATAGGCAAGTAAGAGACACCAAAATCATTTAAAGGAGGTCTGCAACATCTTCTACTAACCAAAAACTATTTTTCATCGTATCGTTAAATGCTATAATTTATTTGTATTTCTTGCCATCACGTTGATATTTTTTTTTAAATCTCTCTTTCCACTTATAGTGTTTGAAAATGTAAATGGAATTATTTTTTACAATTATTTTTTATTCATAAATAAATTAAAATATATTATTTTAAAATCATTACATCAAAATAATCTAAAAAAATATAAAAAATCAATTTAAATAAATAAAAAAATTGAATTCCAGCAAACCAATGTTTATGCTGCACTCCAAAACAAGAGTTCAATAATGTTATTTTAATTATTTTCTATTTCTTCCCACTAAAATTCATCCTTTAATATATTAACACAAACACATCTTTATAAACCAACTTTTACACTTTTAAAAAACGTAATAATTACTCTTATGATGACCCGTCCCTATTTCTTGCCATAATATTTACTGGTTGATATTTTTTTTGTGAGTTTACTTACCTTGGATTATTTAGCTCCAGTTTTAAATTGCGGTCCAAACAAAGATTTATAAAAATATATATTTTATCTTAAAATAAAAAATATTATATTAATATATTTTTTAGTAAAAAATACAATAAAAAATAATTATTACCATATTTTTAAATAAATATTTTAACCTTAAAGGATAGATTATATCTCTAATATGAGATAAAAAAACATTTCATCGTTTACAATATATATAGTTTATATATATTAATTGTTTTTTAAATCTTTTTATATGGAATATCAAAATCTTATTTTTTTTAAATTTATATATATTGATTATATTTTTAGATCATTTTAACATGCTAATATTAAAAATAAAATAAAAAAATATTATTTTAATATATTTTAAAAATAATTATTAATACCATATCAAATAATACGAAGGAATGGGGAGTGCCCAAAAAATCAAAAGAAAAAGGGTTGCTGTGCCTCAAGTTAAAGTATAGAGGCTAGTTTAACTAATTTATAAAACTCGAGGGATCAAACAATGTATTTACTCTAAAATAAATAGAACATTCAAGGGCAATCTCATAAAATCCATTTAATTTTCATGAACTCGTAATCACATATTTTCTTAGTTTTCGAGTCACAAAACTACTAGATACTCAATAATCACCCGAAATTCAAGCTATTTTTATTTTTCTTAATAAAAAATCATCAAATTCTCTGAAATAATCATTTAAATGGTGTAAAACTTACTTGTCAGATCAAAACTATATAAAAACTTTTACAGCTTTTACATTTTTTTAATTTATAATATTCAATATTCAATTAGCTGACGAGAAACATTGTAATAAATTAATATCATAAATGACTTAATTAATAATTAAAAGTTTAAAACAAAGTCAAGGAAGCCATGAAATCCTCTGGAACGGAGATGATCTAATCAAGATGAAAAATAGAATGGGGACCAAATCAAACTTATCCATATAGATTGGGGATATTGTTGAGGCTTGCCCTTACGATTTGAGACAGAAGCTGAAAGAGAAGACCCATTGAAACAGAGCAACAGAGAGAGGAGCGCATGGGCAGTCTTTACAGATACTACAAACCCCTGACCTCAATCTGCTTCTCTCCACCGCCTACAAAATCTTACCTCCTCCATTCAGTCAAAATCAAGACCCATTTTTCTCCCACCAAGAAGACAAGACTACACCGTTTCTTCACCTCTCTAACATCATCATCACAGCCCTCAATCAAAACCAACGGTGGAGATGCCTCTGCTGCAAGTCAATCATCAGAATTGTGGCTATACAACACAATGAGTAGAAAAAAGGAGCTATTTAAGCCAAAAGTCGAGGGTAAAGTTGGAATGTATGTTTGTGGTGTCACTGCTTATGACTTAAGCCATATTGGTCATGCTCGTGTATATGTTACCTTTGATGTTTTATTAAGGTTTGTTCAGTTTCTTTTTTCTCTTTTTAAGCTGTAAGAATCCATGTTTAGATGGTTACTGACAAGGGTTTTTTCTGGTGGCTGGTAATTAGGCAGGTATCTAAAGCATTTGGGGTATGATGTTCATTATGTTCGAAATTTCACCGATGTTGATGATAAGGTTAGTTGGTCTCTTTACTCTTTTTTTTTGTCTTGTTAAGGTTGTAATTAAATTTGGTTTATTTCATCTACATTAAAATGATTGCATGACGTGGCAATCTGGATTGCGCTTGAGGAGCATGAATAGTAGGTTCCACAAGTAAATTACATAATTTTGATGCAGGGGAGATAAACTGGCGCCCTACATATGAATGTGAAATGATGACTAATGTAGCAGTTTGTAGTGTTTCTGTATTGAAAATGTTGTTTTGAGGATTCCTTTTGTTTTTAATGTGGTTTGGTGGATAGGGGATTTGATGTTATTTTGGTGCAAGAGTTTGGTTGCCAACTGCTTTTTGATACTGGTATGACAGGATAAGCTGAGTTGCAATTTTCGAATTCTGTAGATAATTGCTCGAGCGAATGAATTAGGAGAGGATCCTATCAGTTTGAGTAAACGGTACTGTGAAGAATTCCTTCATGATATGGTGTATCTTCATTGCCTTCCGCCTTCTTTTGAGCCACGTGTGTCAGATCACATGCCCCAAATAATTGATATGATTGAGCGGGTAATTTGTTGATCCTGCTTGAACTTGAATCTCTATGTCTTCCTATTTGATTATTAAATACAGTGCATTGCTATGAGCATGGTCTTTATGAGGTGAAATGGTCCATTCAGTATTTATTCTCTCTCGTTCATATGCTTTTCTTTGATACTTTGAATAGTGATTTATTGACATGCCATATTAGCAGATTCTTGAAAATGGATATGCCTACAGAATTGATGGGGATGTCTACTTTTCTGTTGACAAATTACCTGAATACGGGCGATTGTCTGGAAGAAAACTAGAAGATAATCGAGCTGGTGAACGAGTTGCTGTGGACTCGAGAAAGAAAAACCCTGCTGATTTTGCATTGTGGAAGGTAAGTGTCTGTAAGACACTGATAATGATGAGTACTTGATGTGAGACATGAAATTATCTGAGATGGTTATATTTGCTGATGCTGCTGTGCTATTGAATCCCCTCACCTCTTACCATATGTTTTTTTCTTTTGAGCCTGGCTGCGGTACTGTCTAATTGTAGTACTGTGTTGTTCTTGATTCCAGCCACGTACATGGAAACACAGAGTAGAAGAGTGCTTGTTTCTGATGTTAAAGTGTTGGGCTGGGTTTCCAAATCCTGCACAACAAAAAAAAAACCATGGTAAAATCTAGTTGACATAGGTGTGTAAATCAAAGGTGGTTAGCATCGTGATGTAAAAGCACACATCTAGATACTGGACCTGTTTCATTGTATATCTAATTTCCCGCAAAAGTTCAACTCTGTATGTGGCACATCTTGGAACTCAACCTGTCTATTCATATTGGCTAATTCATTGTGTTGTTACACTTTTTTTTGGCAGTCTGCAAAGGAGGGTGAGCCCTTTTGGGATAGTCCATGGGGTCCTGGAAGACCTGGGTGGCATATCGAGTGCAGTGCCATGAGTGCTGCTTATCTTGGTCACTCGTTTGACATCCATGGTGGTGGAATGGACCTTGTGTTTCCCCATCATGAAAATGAAATTGCTCAGAGCTGTGCTGCATGCAGAGATAGTAATATAAGCTACTGGGTACACAATGGTTTTGTCACTATTGACTCAGAGAAAATGTCCAAATCATTAGGAAACTTCTTCACAATTAGGCAGGTAAAGGATTCCATATTGGATGATATTTTGTGTTATTGTAGTTTATGAATCTACCGCCTGTTCTCTAGTACTGGAACTATCATCCATGTTTACATGATTCTTAATGGCATTTTTTCTTTA